CCGAACGTCCAGGTCTGAAAACCTGCAGCCCCGAACGTCCAGGTCTGAAAACCTGCAGCCCCGTGGTGTTTTAAACAAAAACACTGAAATGAAACATTAAAGTTCTTAATTTTCACCGACGTGGTGGCTGAGCTCACCAGCAACCATCGTTTCCACTTTATCACCTTGTCAAAGTACCGTATTTTCCGCCGTACACGCTGCACCCCCCATAAGTTACATCAGTTCAAATATGTCTAACGAAGTGGAAAAATCCATAAATATGTTGCTTTGCCGTAGAAGTCGCATCTTTTATGCGTCACCGCTGACAACCTGGAAAAGTGGGCCGGTGTTGTACCAAAAATCAATCGGCTGCCAAATGGCGGCTGCGGGAGCGTGCATGGGAGGACTTTAAAAATAATTTAACAAGATTAACACCTAAAAACAATTATTTGTTTGTTCGACATTATAGTAAAGGTGTCTCAGTTGAACGTTTACTTAATAAATGCACTTCAATGGTCAAATCAGCAGCATTTCTCCGGGGCGGTGCAGCAAAATGAAGCAGATTTGACGGTTGCTCGAACGTGGCAGGCTATGGCAAGCTGATTGTGTCATTAATAGCCACTTTTATCTATTACATGACACAACAGCATGACATACTTCTTGAGTGCCATCTAGTGGCTGAAAATGGTAGTGCTCAAAGTTTTCAGTCAGAATGAATGAAAACAGTCGTATCTCAGCCAAAAATTGGTTTATAAATATGGAGAAAACATAAATATGTCGCTTCAGCATACAAGTCACAGGGCATGCAAATTTTACACAAAAAACTGTGACTTACAGGCCAAAAAATACAGAAAAATACAACGGCAAAAACAGATGTTTCTTTTTTATTTTCTGTAAGGGAGTGGGCAGTAGGCGTTGCAGTTTTTAATTAGACTTTATGTTTTTGAAAACTTCGCCCGTCGCTCATAATAATTCTTCTAAAGAGGTCCAAATCTGCTCACCTTCATTTCTAAATGTTCTCCAGTAGAATAAATCAAAACTGTGGGCAGTGAATTAATGTGTGTATTTTAGAATACAGTAAAGAAAGCTGCCTGAATGACCCCCCCCACAAACACCATGGGGGCACAGCTCACTGGTCACTCAGAATTTAGTGGCTGCAGCTGAAATATTTGAACCTCGAACCGTCGTAGATCAGACAAATTATACCTTTTAAAAAAATCTTTTAATAGAAACCAAAGTGTGGCGTGTGGCGACCTGCAGGGGGGTGTCTGGAGCGAGGCGGCACAGGGGGGGTCTGCAGGACGATGGTGTCGCTGCAGGAGGACAGCCGGACCGTCACGTCCTCATCGAGGATCCGACGTGGAGCCTGCAGAAGAAGAAGAACACAACGTCTGATCTGCAGCTTCAGACCTGAACCTGGATCTGAGCAGAGGGAACCTCCTCCAACGCCTCCTGCTCCACCTCCACACCCACCGCAGGGTTTACCTTCTCCAGCACTTTGCACACACACTGGCACCACAGGATGAGGAAGATGATGATGACCAGCAGGAGGATGATGGTCACCAGGCAGCCGATCAGGACGGGCGTGTTCCCATCATCTGAGGAGTCGGAGGCCGATGGAGGAGCTGCTGGGGGGTCAGAGAGGAGGACACAGGTCAGCTGAGGTCAGGTGAAACATCACGATGAATCCGCTGCTGGAAAGAAACAATAACTTTTAGTTTTTACGTCTCACCTGTTTTTGATGTGGTTGTCATGGCGACGCCCTCACCAGCACTCGCAGCAGACGTTCCCATCAGTGTCTGTGTTGGGAGTGTTGGGAGTATGGTGTCCTCTGATGGACAAAAACAAGACCTTTGACTTTCTCCTCTGGGAGAAACTGAACTGGCTCCAAATGGAGACGAGTTTTTACCGGACTGGAAGGAGATCTCGCTGAACATCATCCACACGTCAGCGAAGAAGAACCGGCAGCGGAGGAGTGTGGCAGCGCGGCGGTTCAGCGGCACGGTGACATATCGGGCGCTCGGGTTCCTGTCGTCCAGCACCGTGTTGAACACAACAGGCTCCGCCTCCCAGACCGCCTTGAGGTGGGGCTTAAATGAACAGGAAACTGAGGAGAAGATCTTCACATCACGGGTGAACATGTTGTTACTGTGAACCTGGAGAGAAGACACACAGGTGGACAGTGTCTCAGACTCAGGACAACCTCAGGTGGACAGTGTCTCAGACTCAGGACAGCCTCAAGAGGACAGTGTCTCAGACTCAGGTGGACAGTGTCTCAGACTCAGGACAACCTCAGGTGGACAGTGTCTCAGACTCAGGACAGTCTCAAGAGGACAGTGTCTCAGACTCAGGTGGACAGTGTCTTAGACTCAGGACAGCCTCAAGGGGACAGTGTCTCAGACTCAGGTGGACAGTGTCTCAGACTCAGGACAGCCTCAAGGGGACAGTGTCTCAGACTCAGGACAGCCTCAGGTGGACAGTGTCTCAGACAAAGGACAGCCTCAAGAGGACAGTGTCTCAGACTCAGGTGGACAGTGTCTCAGACTCAGGACAGCCTCAAGAGGACAGTGTCTCAGAGTCAGGTGGACAGTGTCTCAGACTCAGGACAGCCTCAAGGGGACAGTGTCTCAG